TGATGTTGCTGTAGTCGAACGGTGAGACGGACGTGTAGTTCAGTTTTGGGCACGCGTACGGTGCTGCAGGGATTATATATAGGTGTAGTAGTACCTCTTCGGGCTCTTGTACACCTTTTTCTTGCTACGTGTGCGTGTTCTTTAGATCCTCAGATGGCTCCAGCACTTTCGTGACCACGGGCCGAGAGTCTTTGCTAGATTTTGGCATTTAGCAACTGGCATACGGTTTAATGTGAAGTCAACAACAACAACAACAGTACACTGTTTCGGCAATCAATGCTTTTTGAAAAGTTCACTTTCACCTTTTAGGGAAAGGAGCCAGTTTATGGCCGCCCTAAGATGAACTTTCGACCCCAGGAAGATTTTTTTAGCACGAAGGCCAGCTGGCGTCTGTAAAAGCTGAACATTTCCGTTCCTGTTCAAAGTTCATTTTTCATGAAAGGGAACTTAGCAGGACAGCAGTAGTAGCACAGCTAGGCCTGTCCTCCATTGGCCGTTTTATTTTCGATTTAGATACACAAACTTTATTTCTATACTAATTTCAAGTAATTCCACAGCACAGCAGCACCGCGCAGACAGACCGCACCAGACCACACCAGGGCGAGTAGCGACGGGAAGGATGTCGACCAACGCAGTCCGCCAAAGCTTGAGGACCGTAGCCCCCTCTTCAAACTTCGTGATAGGGTTAGCGACGACCAGGAGACTTCTTTTCTGACAGCAGGGCAGCGGAAGGCTAGGGAACTGGAGGAGTTCGGCGGAGAAGAGTCGAGAGACAGCAGTGGCGGCTTTGGCAACCCACCTCCTCCTGCTGGTGGTCTTGAGGAGGATGGAGTACAGGTCCTGTCGATACCGCGTGGCAATGTGCAGGCTAAGCCACCAAGGAAGGGCAAGTGGACGCTTCCATGCATGATCCACGTTGCTGAGAAGGGTAAGTCTACTGATATGTAGATGCGAGAGCACGGCTCTCTTTCTACACGTGGTCCCTCTTGGGTCTAGACCGCGGTATGTCCTGCTGCTGTTGCCTTGATTCGCAGACAGGATATAGCTCTGGCAT